GCCATCTTTTTCTCTGAGCAGTTTGGGGACTAAACACATTCACGTGTATCTGGGGTGGGGCCTCTGTCTCCTGGGCAGAGTGGGACTGAAGAACGAGGCCTGAAGCATTACTGGTTCACATCCTGGCCTGACCAGAAGACCCCAGACCGGGCCCCTCCACTCCTGCACCTGGTACGGGAAGTGGAAGAGGCAGCCCAGCAGGAGGGGCCCCACTGTGCCCCCATCATTGTGCACTGCAGGTGGGTCCTAACAGCCACTAGCTGTGACAGGTCCACCCTCCCACATCCCTGGGCTGTCCCTCCCCTCACCCTACCCATCCCCTCGGCCCTCAGTGCAGGGATTGGAAGGACCGGCTGCTTCATTGCCACCAGCATCTGTTGCCAGCAGCTGCGGCATGAGGGTGTTGTGGATATCCTGAAGACAACGTGCCAGCTCCGTCAAGACAGGTCAGCCCACGGGTAATGGTGGGGGCATGCAGAGCAGCTACAGCCTGAGGTCACTAGGGAGACACTGACTGCTTGAGGATCAGGGGCAGATAGCACCCCGGGCACGGGTTGATTGGCTCAGAGAGGGCAGCCGAAAGAAGACAGGATCTAGACAGTTCTTCTTATGGAAGAAAAGTGAAGAGACAGACATAGCTAGTGGACAGGACAGCGTCGGAGAGCAGGTGGCATGTCATCTGTGCTCCTGACACATATGGCCAAAGGCCCTTCTTGGCAAAGGTTGCTCTCACCAAGCTGCATAAGAACAAGGCCACCAGCATGCCTCCCAAGGGTCTGGTACTCAGTGGGTTTGGGGGCCCCCTCCTTCAACCCATCCCTGTGATCCCATTGTGCATCTCTGCTGGGCAGGGGTGGCATGATCCAGACATGTGAGCAGTACCAGTTTGTGCACCACGCCATGAGCCTCTATGAGAAGCAGCTGTCCCGCAAGTCCCCAGAGTGACCACGCACCTCCTCTTGAGGTCCTCTGGGCACTGCCCAGCCTGAGTCTGGGTCCTCAGTCCAGCCACCTCCAGGGCCTTGCCTTGGACTCTGGGCTTGTTTCAATCCCTGCTCCCTCCTCCTCCTTTTCTTCAGTCTGCTCCTTCCCTCCTCTGTTAGCCTGGCCTAGCCCCCTACCCCCAACCTAGCTCTTCCTACTGTATATATTGGGGAGTCGAGGGAGGCAAGGGAGGGATGTGCCAGGCCAGGCCTGGGGCCCCAGGGCCTGACCCACACCACGCAGACCTGGGGCCTCATTTTTAACCATGGTTCCATTGCTGTTTGATCCAAAATGTTTCTATGCCGCATCCGAGTGTCCTGCCACAATGTGTCTGCCCATCCATCTCTGCTGTCTATACCGGACACTGTGTCTCCTTGGCCAGGAAAGGGGTAATAAGCTCCAGTTCCTAAGTAGCCAGGCAGTGGTACCTGCCTTGAGGTACCCTCACGTCCCTCTACTTCTCCCAACAGGCAAACTGTGTTTTATTTTCTGCCCAATTCTTGGGACTAGGATGTAGAGGACAGGACTGAAGACTTAGAGGCCAGGCAAAGGAGCTCTTGATGGGTTGGTAGCAAAAACAAAGCTGGGGAAGGTTTCTAGGTTGGGGTGAACAACATGGTCAGAGTGGCTTCTGGGTGTCAGATGCCCCTCAGGAGCCAATGACCAGCCTGTGAGGCACTGGAAATGTAGGGGACAAGTGGGGATGGAGAGCCCAAAGGACCTGGTTGCAGGAAAAGGGGAGCTCCAAGGCTGAGTTAGGGTAAGGACTTGGCTTCTGATCTGTGTGGGACATTTCTCTGTGTCACTGTGGGAAAGCCTCCCCAAAAGTCTCGCTGCGTGTCGCCGTGCGTGTGGTGTGTTCCCATGTCCATGCGTGTGTTGAGAGCCCGTCAGCAGGGCATGCATGACTCTTTGGCCACATGTGTTATCTTGGAGCCACGTGTTTCTATTGCTGACTTTAAGTATTTATTCCACGGCAGACAGAGACATTTGATGTCTTTTTATAATTCGCTCGTGGTCATTGAATAGAGCAATAAACAGCATTTTGAGCAAAACTCGGTCTCCTGAGTTAGTAATTTATCTCTTCCCTTTACTCTTTGCCTTCCTGTACCTCAAGGCTTTGGGCTGTTCTTCCCAGCCCATGCACACATGCTCCTGCACGCGCACGCGCGCACACACACACACACACACACACACACACACCTCATACTCACTGGTGCCCCTGTGCAGATTGGGAAAATAAGAAGAATCCAGATTTGCAAACTTGTAAATCCATTCTGCAAGGATTCTCAACACTCTTAGTCCCAGACCACTGAGGTGCCCTGAGCCATAGGGAAGCTCAAAAATCAGCATAGAAAGCTTCCAGGAAAGGCAATGTGGCTGGGGGTGGGAGGTTCACAAATTAGTCCAGAGAGGCCAAGGCTGATGGAATCCCTTCCATTCAAGTCACACTCAGGTCCCTTCCTGTTGACCACCCCACTTACCCCGTGTTCGCCTCACAGGTCCCAAAAGCAGCTGTGCAGCCTAGCAGTTTCCCTTGTAAGGCCTGAGCTTAAAAAGTAGCCCTTCCCAGGAGACCAAGGAATCAGAGATCCTAAGCCATCCTCAGACACACCTGCTCTATTCTTATCCTCTGCCCCTTGGGATGGAACAAAAGTAGCTGTGACACCACTACTCAGGGATGGAGGTCACCCCAGGGCAGGAAGGGGGGTGGGGTAATCAAAGGGTGACCTGCCAGCTGGTCCTTACAACCCAGATCAAGGGTCCAGGCATACAGGTTATGTCACAGATTATGAGGAAAGAACAGATGCAGCTGAAGCAGCCCAGAGGTCTCAGAAAAAGAAGCCTGCTCTTACCATCCCATAGAGATACCTCTCCAGCAGAATGGCCCTTGTACCCAGATTCCAGCGTTGGGGCTGTGGAATAAGGAGAGGAGAGTTAACATTCTCCTCTCCTCCACCAGGGCGACCCCATAAGGCCATTCCAGCTGTGTATGTCCCACACATACACTGCAATGTGAACAATGTCCCCTCTTTGGGTGCAAAGTGTCAGATCTGCTAGACCCTTCCTGACGTGCCTACTCTCAATACCAACTCTAGTCCCAAACCCTGTCGGTTCTAATGCACAGGAGGACATTGCATATACCCTCATAGCCCAGAGAGTTCCCACGCATCAGAAATGCAAGGCAAAACCCTGACCACAGGGCACAGGAAAGAAATGCCACTGGACCAGCCACCACCAGCCTGCCTCCCATCTCGTCGTTACCATTTTTTCCAGCCTTGGATCCAGCTAGCTTCCCTCCTACATTTCCCACCCCCGAAACAGTGTGCCATCTGGCTGAAGTTAAGAGCCTGAGTAAGGGATCTCCCCCAGTAGCGAGGGGGCGGGGGGCAGCCATCTAAGGAACTGATGGCTCTCAGTGCCCCCACAGTTGGTGCAAGAAAGCAGTGGACATGACGTTCAAGTGTTGGAAATTGATGGTCAGTGCAGAAGGTAAAAGACTTCCTTCTCCCTCTTTCCTTTGGAAAGGGGCATAGTCTGGTACCTTCTAGCCCAGAGGAGGACAAGGGATGAGAGCAGGAGCTGGGATAGAAAACTGGTCTCAGAATCCAGCAGTAGAAGCAGCCCAGGGAAATGTATAGAGTAGGAGTAGGGGAGGGTTTTTTTTTTTTAATCACCTGGCTCAAAAGTAAGACTTGTTTCCCTGGAAGGGAACTAGACTGAGGGTCAAAAAGCTAGGAATCTGTCCTAAGTGAACTTGTACAGATCCATTCAATTGGATATCTGTTTTCTCATCTATAAACTAGGGGTTTAAAAACTGTGCTTAAGCCAGGCACCAGTGGCTCGTGCCTGTAATCCTACTTACTCAGGAGGCTGAGATCTGAGGATCTCAGTTCAAAGCCAGCCAGGGCAGGTAAATCCATGAGGCTTTTTAATTCACTATCAGAAGAAAAATGAAACTGAATGTGGAGCTGTGGCTCAACTGACAGAGTACTAACTTTGAGCAATAAAGCTCAGGGACAGCACCCAGAACCTAAGTTTCAGGATCAGGACCAGCACCAAAAAAAAAAAAAAACCATATTGTACTTGTTAATAAAGGTGACAGCAGCTACATCCATTCACTGAAATGAGCTGTTAACAAGAATAAGAAAACCTTTACATACTACAAGACAAGATTTCCAAGACACAGTAAATGAAAAAAGAAAGGGACAGAACAGTGTAATAACAGGGAGCCTGGTATGTAAAATGAGGACATGGACAAGAGCATCTGTCCATGTCTGAGTGAAGGGATTCTAGAAAGAGCTGGAGATTACACATTGCCACCTGTTGGGGAGACTTGGGAAATGGGGGATTTGGGAATGGAAAGATATTTATATTGTTTCAATGTATTCAGTTACTGATTCGGAAAAGTATAAGAAATAAAAATTAAACTCCTGTCTTTACCAAGTCACCTCTGCAGTGAATTCAGCCTTGTGGAAATGCATTGTCATCTTTCTTAGCATTCCACCAGTGCCAGAGCTCAGGAAGAAGATCCATAGCTTCCTTCTAAGAGCCACTCCAGCACAGCTTAGGCAGGAAGTTCTTCTTTAGGTGGGACTTCAGTCCCTTCTGGTGAACCACGCAGCACTGTTTCCCTAGGCCCAGCAGGTGTTCTCAGCTTCCTGGGGGCTTTTGCCTGGTTGGGTAAGTTAAGTTGAATCCCTATATTCTTCCCTTCCCAGAACTTGGAATGGTTTCAGGTTACTCCATGAGGGAACAGGCCCACTGGTCCTTGTAACTTATAGGATAAAGGGAGATTGGGATTAAACAAATGATGGCCCAGAAAGTGTAGGCCTGGTGCTGCCTGACTGCTCTTCTGCCATTTGCTCTGTACTCCTATCTCCCCTGTGCACACATACACAGGCACGTGCATATGTGTGCATGCACGCCTCTGAATATCTCTCCTAATTCCTTATCATTCATGTCCTCATCCTCTCCCTGGTCTAAACAGGTGAGTGCACAAACCTGCTGTCACCATGACAACCATTCACCAGCAGATGGTACAGGAGCATGTGTCCATGGAGTTCTCCAGCTCCACCACCCACCTGCAGACCTTCTCCCAAACAACCAAGATCGTGGGAGGCAAGTGGAATGGATGTGGCAGGGGAGGAGGGTTGGGGAAAGGGCCTCCTTTCTTCCTCTACAGCCCCCAACCTGCGTAGCCTTGGTCTTTGCCACAGAATACCAACAGCAAATCCCTCCCAACCTTGTACTTCCAATATGGGGCTTGATTGCACTTCACCCAGATTGATGTTTACTCACAGATCGCATTTCTAGGAAAACAGATTGGGAAAAACCAATCACATGGTGTTTGTGAAGGACTGATAAACTCTTAATTGCTTAAAGTGTTTGGAACCAGAGGCACCTGGACTGCATGATTTCAAGCAAGCTGAAAGTAGGACCGTTTACCTCATCTACTATGAGTAATGTTGACCCTGCTTCACTTAAGAAATGGGTGACTTGGCCACCAGTAAAGACAGAATGAACATGTAAACAAATGACATAAGCTCCCAGGCTTTTACTTCTTGGAGGCCAAAGTTAGAGGAGGGCAAATCCCAGGGAGAGCTGAGAAAGGGTCTCAGAACAGAGTATACTGTTTTAGTCATGTCTCTAGTGGAAAGTTATTAAAAGATGGATAGGAGCCAGGATTTTGAATATCCATTTTACAATCATTGCCTCTCCCTTCAACATCCCAGAAGAACAGAATTCCTCAGAGTCCTCTGTATACAAGGCCACCAGATTAACACTACACCAGCAACTTCTGGCCAGAGAGTCCGAGCAAATGGCACAGCTGAGACTCAGGGTCTACAGTCTAGACCAGACGTTGTGAATTCAAGTGATTATACCAGTGATTCTTAGCCTCATTGCTTAGCTGCGTATTGGAGTCAGCTCAGTGTAGAAGCAGGGTGGGGTGGAAAATGACAATATCTTAGTCTAACCCCAGACCATTAAAGCATCAAGTTTTTATTATCTTTGAAGTATTTGTGCAGAGGAGTTGCCAGTTAACAAAGCAGTGTATGAATATAATGCATCTTGACCAATGTCACCCTTCTTCATTCTCAGCTCCCAGCCCTTCCCTAGCTTTTGTAGGATATACACTGAATTCTTTACTGTATCTTCTCCTCTTTAAATCTGGAATTTTTAAGCTCCCCTGGGATTCCAAGGTGCAGCCAGATTTAAAAAACACTGAGCAGAGAGCTCAGACAGGAAATATGAATGCAGGGTAAGCGTGGAGACCCTGTCTAAAGGTGCAGCCCACAGCTCATTTCCACTTTCCATTCAACACTGGAAAACAAGTCCAGTGTTGAAAACACAATTGAAACTTTGATATAAAATCTTTCTCTGTCAGATGTAAGCCTACTCTTTTGTGTATGCATTGTGTAAGTCAAATAAAAGACACCTGCAGAAAAAGGAAGGATAACCCCTCTGTACAACACCTTAATTGTAACAATAAAAGTATATTTAAAATATATAATTAAAAGTAAATAAATAAAATATATAATTTTACAAAAACAGGAAAAAAGGCATCTGCAGACAAAAATACGATCACCTGCTTCACTGGAGTGCTGTGCTGATTAGAAAAAACAATCTATGATGTGTGCCTAGCCCAGTTTGTGATACAAGGCCAGTGTTCCATGAATCAGAGTAATTGTTAGTCATTAATAACTCAACAGCCAAGAAGATTCTCTTTAGTTTATACTTCAAAAAAGTGGGTTTTGTTTTTCAAATATAAAATTATATTAGCACATGGATATGCCCTTAGGGGCTGGGGTACAGCTTACTGGTAAAGTATTTACTAAGGCCTTAGGTTTGATTCCCCAGCACACACACACACACACACACACACACACACACACACACACACACACACACACACACACACACAAAGAAATTTCCATTTATAGCTCCACTGGAGTGGGAATGTGTCCTTTCCAAAGAATCACGACTTCCAAAGCCAAGGAATGCTGGGCCTCCAGAATGGCATGGAGAAAGTCTAGAACAGAGCTCAGCTGACCCATCTATATGCTGGAGGGTACTAAGACTTCCAGGAAAGAAAACCCAAGAGACAGAGAAAATCTCAAAAGGGAAGTAACCTTTTGAGTTTATAATAGGACTGGGTTGTGTCCCTTCCTGAAGGGACTTCAACTCTTCAGGTCCTTTCAAGGATTCATTGTCTCTCGGGGCTCCAGCATTCCTTAAGTAAGGATGCGTCACCCTCCATTCACCAGGCTGCGCAGCCATCTGGGGCCCATTCTGACCTCTCACTCGACCCACAGAGGAAGTAGTAACAAGGAAGTCCCCGAGCACGGTGGAGTTCTTCAGCTTGGTGACTTGACGTTCCAACATCCCTGCAGGCAAGAATGTTCCTGAGTTCATGGAGAAATCTTACCTGATCACCTCGCCAGAGAGTGTGTCCTTCTCTCCCTGGGATTCTTGTGTTTCTGATTCTTCCATTCCCACCCTGATGTCCCCCAATACACAGATACAAACTGAAGGTCCCACCCCTGCCTGGGTCCAGGTGCAAATCCCTGGGAGGACACAGGGAGTGGGCAGAGCGTCCAGCCTGCAGGCTAAGGGACGAACATGTATTCCTTGGCCACCACAGGGGATAAAGCTGTGTTCCAAGCCCAAATTCAAGGAAACCCCAAACCCAATGTCTCCTGGAAGAGGGAGAGTGGCCTCCCCGTCAGGAGTCGCCCAAGATAGACTACGACAGCATTAACAAGGAACACGTGCTGAAGGTATGGCCTGATCCCCAGGTCCAGCTGCCTCGCCAGGTGGGAGGCCCAGGGGTGGACTGTCCAGCACTTTCTTGGATTAGAGCGCCTCCATGGCTACCCAAAACAAAACAAAGGCAGACAATAAAGAGATTGTCATGGCCTTGGCATTGCAACAGAATAGGAGGAGGCTAGCTCAGAGACCCCATGTTGCCAGAACCAACTGATGACCAAAGTTATCTGTTGCCCAAGCCTGGAGAAGGCACTGGGAAGCCAAATGGAAGCCAAGGGTGGGAGGGTTTGGGGGGTCCAGAAGGTGAGAACTAAAGAAGAAAATGCTAGAAAGAGGTGGGGCCTTAGTGAGGAGCGACTTAGCCTTGGAGTAGTATCCAGACATAGGCAGGGACTAGACTGATCAGAGTACCCCGAAGAGTCTTGCCAAGGGAGAGTAGGAGAGTATATTTAGGGTACTAGGCCTTCCAGAAGAGTCCTGCCAAGGGCTGATTGTCCTTACAGGTAACCATCTTTTGAGCTACGTCCTGAGAGCTGCTACCTAACTGTAACTTGGTTTCAGGTTCTTTGAGAAAAGGGAGGACAGGTCACTGGAAGGCTCAGTCCTAGCACTACTCTTGTCCGTATCATTCCTCGGGTCCTGCCCCCACTTCTCAGTGAGAAAGACAAAGGTTGCCCTTCTCCCCCAAGGACAGAAGTTGGTTCTCTCCCAGAGTCCCATCCCTGACCCTCTTGGCTATGCACAAGCTGTCCTAGAGTCTCCCTGCAAGCGACCTCTAACACAAGCTCCGGCATTCTGAGAGCAATGGCTTCCTAGAGCCCACTCAGCTCTGATCCTCACACAGAGAGGCATGAAGTCGATCTCATTCACCCATTTCCTCTGGCACTCATCCCAGTGCCTGGTACAAAGGAGTATATTGTTTAAATCACAAAATGCCAAAGACTGCAGATAAGTGTTACAACTCAGAAAATGCTCAACCTCTAGTAGTTCATAGCCAAGAGGGAGAGTCTCATCATAAAGCAGACTATGTTATTGTTATTGGGATCTGTAGGCAAACATGCATACTTACACTGGCTGCTACCTGGCACTTCCCATCACAGACTACCCAGCCTTCCACACATATATCCAACACTTAGTTCTGCTCTTTTTACCCACCTCATAGAACGTCTTGTGTAGTTCCCACCCCTTCCCCCACTAATGGTCTGATCCTGATCCAGCTGGAACCACTGACCTCAGATGACTCTGACTACTACAAGTGCACTGTAAGTAATGACTATGCAGGTGTCATCTATCCTGTGTCCTTGCTGGTGACAGAGGTTAAGCCAGCCCCCTCGTCCCGACCTGGTTCTTAGGAACCAGATTTCCTATATCTAACTATGGTCTTCTGTCTTCAGGTCAAGAAAAACTAGATCTCAAGAAAATGTTAAAGAAGAGGTGAGCTTAGAGGTCCCACGCTCAGGGTTCTGTCTCCCACCCGAAGCTAGAATCTCTCACAGGTTCTACAACAGAGACCCCAGCTCCAAGAATCCATAGAGAAGGGAAGGGTGTCTAAGGTCAGGGAAGAACTGAATACAAGCTTGGTCTTCTCCTACCCCGCCTCTCCCCTCCCCCAGAGCTCTTCCCACTCCTAAGAAGAAGCAGAAAGTAACAGATGAGAAAGAGATGCTAGAGATTTTGTCCAAGGTGCTCAAGAAGGACTTTGAAAAGGTCTGCAGAGATCATGGTTTCACTGATTGACTTCTGGGGGCTGCTGAAGAACCTCAAAGGAATGAAGAAAAACGTGGAAGCAGGCCTCTGCTCTTCAGGGAGCAGAGGCCTGCAGGCTGGGAGCTAGGCTTCACTGTGTGCATCCCCAGACTTGCACACATATACTCAGAGGCATTCAGTCTGCTGCAAGAGCAGGAAGAGACCTTGTCACCCTCTGTCTCCTCTTTTCACTACTACCTAATATTCTTACATAGACTTACTAATATTCTTACATAGAGGAGTCAGGCAGACCTGAGTTCAAATCCCAGTTTCACTGTTTTTAATTATGTAAACGGGAGTATCTATAAGTTTCAGTTTAAACTTATAGTTTAAACTTAAAGTTTAAACTTATACTTCTCTCATTTGTTTTCCCATTGTTATTTATTCATTCATTCAACCAAGTCAAGTGAATTGATAATACAGTTACATCATCTATGCAGTGGGTTCAGATATGCAGTCACTGTTTTTTGAATAATGGTTCCTTTATCATCTTCTTGTTCTAAATCTTCCAGGTGATCCATATAAATAAACCTAGTACTTTCTTGCAGTCATCTACAGGTGTTGACAAGGATTGTGAACACAGCCTGAGCAGGCTCCAGATACTACTAACGCTTGTAATTTTGTGTTGAACCCTTAACACTTGTGAAAATAATCTCTCATGGCACCTGGATTCTGAAACCCCTGGAAGACAGAGGGAAAGACTGATACCACAGTAGTTTTTGACTGTATCATGGAGCTGAAGGACCCCAATGTCAAAATGCTATGGATCAAGGTACAGAAACACCTAGTCCAGACTCACTCTGGCAATGTCATGTCTTCCCTGACCCTCTCATCATCCAGAAGCCAGGGTCTCTCTCCCACCCATCAAGAAGATGGTCAAAAGAGGCTGAAAATTGGTCTTCATTGATTTTTGTTTTGTTTTGGGCAGTACTGGGCTTGAATTCAGGGATTTTTTTCAAGTACTCTACCACTTGAGCTATACCTCCAGCCCTTTTTTGCTTTTAGTTACCTTTCAGGCAGGGTCTTATGTTTTTTCCTGGGCTGGACTCAGATGCAATTCTCCTAGCTATGGTCTCCATCTTAGTTGGAACTTTAGGCACATGCCACTAGGCCTGGCTTATTGAATGAGATGGAGTCTTGCTACCTTTGGCCCAGGCTTGCCTCAAACCATGAGTTTCCTGATCTCCACCTTCCAAGCAGCTGGAATTACAAGCATGAAATGCCACACTCAGCCTGGGTTTTATTTTTTAGTTGTTTCCTCTTTCTGTGCCTCAAACTATGCACCTTTAAACTGAAAAGCCAGATCAAATAGTTCCAGAACTCACTAAAGATCTGTGCCTTTATGAAAGGGCATCTTTTGAATTCACACATATTGAAAGTCTGGGTCTTGTGGGGAGACAGAGATTCGGATTCCCACCAAGCTGGATATGAAGCTAGTAACAGTGTAGGGGCTGTGGATAATGTTTTGAGAGAAGGATAAACATCCTTCAGCTTAGCCTTGCTTTGAGGCACCGGGAGCTCTAGATGTCTCCTCCTACTTTCCTCATCAGTTTACCTACTTGCTCCATGAGACAGGATACTGAGCCACTGAGGATCCAGTACTCCATTGGCAAGTACAATGTGAAGCAGGTGGGCACCAAGTACATGCTGGTGATTACCAATGTCAATATGAATGATGACAGCACCTACAGCCTGGCCATGAGTGACAAATAGATGAGTGCACAGCTCACAGTATTGGGTATGAAAGGGGCCATGGAAGAACAGAGGAACATCAGGGTACAGGAATGGCCAGGGAGGATCCCACAGAAATAAATATTGGAGAGAGAAGACTGTGGGGCTATGCACAAAAGGACGACCTGGGTATAGAAGTTAATTAAATGGAAGAAGACTGGGAGATAAGTGTCATTGAATAGAGTAGCATAGCGGTCTACGGGGACAGACTCTAGCTAGACTACTGGGGTTCAAACCGCAGCTTCTGTCAATTATGAACTATTGAGTTTAGGGTAAGTTGTTTAACTTCCTTGCTTCAATTTCCCCTGTCTATAAAATGGGAAATCACAATAAAAAAAATCTCCCTAGATAAGAATTGGATGAATTAATAAGTGCAAATTGGCAAGAATAACGGCTATCATGTATCTAAACTAAATAACTGGGTTTTTTTAAATCGCTGTTAACATTACTGAAGGGGAGACTGTGAATGGGAACTCCCGAGAAGAAGAGTTCACAAGTGGAAGGAAAGAAAGAATGCTTTCCCCCAACTGTGGTCTATAGGAAGTCATGGACCCCAGGATCTTTATGCCCCTTCACTATCCACCTCCCCTCTTTGCCGCAGATGAGCCACTGAAGTGCTTAGGAGGGATGAAGCCAGTGAGGGTGACAGAGTGCCAGACAGCTGTGTTTGAAGTCTACCTCTCCAACTCTATGTGGAGGTTCAATGGGCAGGAGCTGAAGAGGGGTGACAAGAATGAAATCTCAGTGTCTGAAGATGGTCCGACTCATATGCTTAAGATTAAAGATGCCAGACTCAGCAACATTGGTAAGTGCTCTGCTCAGGCAGGAGACCTGGAGCAAAAGGCTCAGTTCACTATTACTGACCAGTGAGTAATTAGGTAGGTGTCTGAGGGGCAGGTTTCATGCCACAACAACCTTCATATGGTTATCCACTCATCCATCCATCCATTTCCTCTTTGCAAAGCCCTGTGATGGGTACTAGAAGGTGCTCCTCTAAAACTCTTACTCTAGTAGTAAAGGAAGACATGAAAATGAAATTTTAGTAAGAGTTCTTGCCAGGCACTGATGGCTTACAATTGTAATCCTAGCTATTCAGGACAGTCCGTGAGACTCTTAACTCCAATTAATCACCAGAAAACCAGAAATGGAACTGTGACTCAGAGTGGAAGAGTGATAGCCTTGAACAATAAAACCTCAAGGACAGAGCCTAGGCCCTGAGTTCAAGTCCCACAACTGACAAAAACAAACAAAAAAATCAAGAGTTCTTAAGCCATGAATAAAAACACACTAGTCTTATCATCAACTGGGAGGACATGGCACAAGAAATTATTAGACTTTGAGGCTCTAGTATCATATATTACTACAAGACTATGTTATTCTTGACTACTTTCTCTCCAATATTTTAAATAGTTTGGAGATTTGTATGGATGGTGGATATACCAATCAACAATGTCACCCACACACAAATCACTACTGGAATCTATCACATGCAGTCATTATTGCTGTGATGGAGGAGAGAGACATAGAAACTATGGGATCCCAAGGATGGGGTACCACTAGATGTCAACTATGATATGATGAGGTGAGGCTTAGCTTTACCAAGAACTAAACCACTTCAGCGTTCCAGAAGGGGGAAGAGAAGAGACATCAGCAGAGGTAATAGCATATACAAAAATCTGGATACCATACCAACAAGGCAAGTATGACTTCAGAAATATTAACTGTAGTGCTATAAACATTGTCCTGTTTAACATGTAAGGAAACCAAGGTTCAGGTGCATGCATTGTGTAAAGTCAACTAGCAAGTCAAAGACAGAACTAGGACTGTCCTTACTGTGTACTTCAAATGAATTCAGTGTCTCAAGTTCTAGTGTTTTCTTTGGTCAAAAAGAAGAATAGGTGGGTTGGGAATGTGGCTTAGTGGTAGAGTGCTTGCCTAGCATGCATGATGCCCTGAATTCAATTCCTCAGTACCACATAAACAGAAAAAGCCAGAAGTGGCTCTGTGGCTCAAATAGTAGAGTGCTAGGCTTGAGCAAAAGAAGCTCAGGGACAGTGCCCCGGCCCTGAGTTCAAGCCCCAGGACTGGCAAAAAAATAAGACTAGGGATCCATGGAAATGTAAGAAGAGAGTATACAGGTTTGAGAGCAGATTGAAGTGCTTGTCTGTCTGGCTACAAGCATTCCTATCAGATTTCTGAGCAACCTCAAACGCAACCTCAAAAATGCACATGTCAAAGGAGCCATGCATGCCTCAAGTGTGAGCTGACCTCCAAGTATGTGACATTGCAGTGGAAGAAAGATGGAAAGTTGCTGACATGTGGCTCTAAGTACAGCATGAATCATGAGGGCAAACAAGCAGAGCTGGTCATTGAGGATGCACAGCTCAGGGATGGCGGCGAATACACTGTGGTAGCCATGAAGGACGGGGACCCTACTGAATACTGCAGCAGTGCCATTCTCACTATGGAAAGTGCGAGCCCACACTGTTGATCCAAATGAGCCACTCTGATTGACACTAGCATTCCTTACATTGGACACTGATATACATCTCTCCTGGCTCCAACCTTCCACCAAAATATAACCAACTTACATCTTCCCAAAATGACCATTCATATCTTCCCAAATCCTAACCATCCCTAATCTCCCATATCCTGAACATCTAAACCTCTTAGACTTTGATCATCCTCACCATCCAATCAATATTCTATTTCAGTTTCCCTGACTTGTCTTTTACTTCTAGATTCTGAGCATCCCTTGCAGCCCCAACCATCCCAAACCACTTGGTCTTGACTATCCCCTACTCCTTAATCATAATTATTTTCCACTGACCCTGACCACCCTCAGCTCCAGTGACTCTGGGTATCATACAGACCAGCATAGCAACAACTAAACATCCCAGTTCTACAAAGAACCAAACTGCATTCCCTACTATCTAGTCCCCTTTATCATCAGGATATCCTAAGTCCCAGATGACCATCCTCCACTCGTCAACTCCATGTTAACCATCTCCCAGTATTCTTGGTAGCATATCCCAAGCCACAAGCCTTTCCCCAACACTTACCTCCTACTTGCTCCAGTCCTCCCACTGACCATCTGAAAATCATCTACTGATCATTGCCAAACCACTTGTTTACCCCACAATCCCACTACCTACCCTTCTGCCCCAACACCCAGACCCAATCCCGGCCTCTCTTTCTCCCTGGAGTGTTGTCCAATGTGCACGCAGCCACTGGGAGCCCCACTGAGTATGTGTAGTGCTTAATGATGAGAAGGTGGAGGGTATGTGGCTGACAGATGTAGCAAGAAGGTCTGAGGCAGGGGCCAGGAGCGGGAAGGAGAAGTTCAGGCTGGCCCACACTTGCACTCACATCTGCCCCTTGTCTGCAGATCACAGACTTGCCAGGCATTCAGATCATGAAGCAGGTGTGGTGCTCAAGCTCATCTTCCCCAGTATGGGCCCAGAACATGAAGGCAAGTAGACATTCCAGGCCAAGGATGCAGAGAGTGAAGCCTCAGTATTCATTGCAAGTACTGTCCACTCAAGGTAGACAAAGCTCAGTGAAACCTTCTCATGGCCTCTCTCTTCCTCAAGGGCTCCTCTTACCCCTAGTAGGCAAGGCTTTTTTGATGGCATCCCCTGCAGATCCTCTCAGCATCGACCCATCAATCCTGAGGCACTAGTTACACACCCTGTGACCCTGTAGGTGGGTCACACAGCTTACATCAAGATGACCTTCCAGGCAAGGACACTGCCCAAAGTGACATGGTACAAGTATGGCATGGAGGTGACAGAGGAGGAGGAGCACATGTCCATGGAGTGTGGAGAAGACTAGTCATTGCTCACCTTCTCAAACTGCATTGAAGACAGTGGCCTGATCATGCTCAAACTCAAGACTGACCATGGCACAGCCATCGCTACACTGCATCTCAATGTGCTGGGTGACAGCAAGGCAGGGCAGAGTTGAGGATACCCAGCACCCAGCACTCAGGTAGCAGGTGGAAAGGAGGCCTCAGACAGAGCTAGAGTTTCTGGGAACAGGATTGAAGTGCCGGCTTCACAACCAGAAGTCCACTAATTTCCTCAGTGACCTGGGTCAAATGAACCCCTATAAACCTGTTTTCCAATTGGAACAAGGTGGGTTTTTCCCCCTACTCATTTCCAATGATTTGCAAGTGCATACCCAAGTAGACCTTCCAATATATCACTTAAGTGTTATTATTAGCTAGATGATAAGGACATTGTTGGAGATATGGAAATGAGATGAAAAAGACTTGAGATTTAGGAGAAGAGGTAAAATTGTATGCTGAAGTATGTGGGAAATAATATGAAATGGAGTAGGAAATGAGAGGGTTTAGGATTAAAAATAATATGAAATCTGGATTAGGGGGTCAGAATGGAATCTAGAAGTGGTCAGAATATGAAGAGGAGGAACTAGCCCTCCTAGTGAACTTAATATATTCATCACACACACACACACACACACACACACACACACACAGAAGCACCACCACCTCCTCCACCTGCATTTTCACTATGCTGTGGATGTTAAGGATTTTTAATTGAGTTTAACAGCATGAATGAACATCTCCTCCATTTTTTCCATGTTGGGGACATAGAAATGAAGTTCCTAGCAGTCTCTCAGCCCAAAAGGGATAAATCTGGAAGATGAATAATTATAACATAGGGTTGACTATGACACCAGAAAGCAATGGTGTTCCAGAAGTTCAGAAGATGACAACAATTTGTCTAGAAGAGGACAATGACCCAGCTAAAGCAGGGTCCCAACCTGTTCCTAGGCAGGCAGGAGCATCAGAGGAAAAAGGATCAAAGTTTCTGGGCAAGTCTTTGAAGGAGGGGTAATGGACACAGGAAAGGAAAGCTCAGAATACAGTTCTGCCCAATCTGGCCAGATCTCTGGTGAGTGGGCCAAGGCCTTCTAATCCTTTGTCTCATTGTAAAGTTATTCTCTGTCTATAGCCTCCCCAGGGCCGAGTAGAATTCCTGGAGCTCATGGGTAATGTGTACACATGAAATGGAAAGCCCCAAAGGACAATGGAGGACGTTCTGTGACACAGTTACAGTGGAACAAAGGGCAGTTGGCAAGAAGTGCTGGGTTAAGATTGGAGAGTGGATGGCAAGTCGCCAACTTCTCCATCAACAAAGTGGAATAGGGGAAAGCCTACCAGTTCCATATCCTGGCAGGCAATTCAGGTGTGAGTGACCCACTGGAGACTGATGAAGTGTTTGTGGGAAATCCTATAGGTCAGTAAGGCTGCCTATTGCTCACAGGGAAGAACAGAGGGGTCAGAACAGAGGCTTTTAGCCAGTGATGAACACTGCAAGGAATTCCATAGGTTCTTCTCAAACTGTCTCATGAAATAAATGGTGTAGAGGAAGAACAGAAAACCATGTGTATGCAGGAATTCCAACTTTTTCCAATCAGATCACATATAAAACACACCCTCATAGGCACACCCAGAAGTGCACAATTCCAGAAACTAACTCCCCTTCTTTCTCCATTCCAGTAATCACCCTGGAATCTAAGAGAGCATGGTGTTACTTTAAGGATAATAACCTTGAAACCATTCTCCTGTGTTCCAAAGAAAACCCCTGACAATATCAGCATTTTAATTATGATTGTTAATTAATTACTTGCTACAACCCTCCCAACTGATTTCTGCACCTCAGTGTGTCAAGATAGTAAATTGAGAGCTGTGGTGTGGGGGATGGGTGTCACACCAGTTGAAGGTTTAAATCAGTAATCTTCCTTACTCTTGCCTACACATTAGAATCATCCTGGGGTCTTTAATAAATGTTGATGCCTGCCCACTAAACCAAGTCAATTGAACTGGAATATTTAGGAATAGAATCCAGATACTAGTTTGGGGGGTTTTGTGGTAGGGTTTTGTTTTGTTTGTTAGTTGCTACTCCTGGGGCTTGCACTCAGGGCCTGGGCACTGTCCCTGAGCTTCTTTTGCTCAAGGCTAGCACTCTACCACTTGAGCCAGAGTGACACTTAAGGCCTTTTCTGTTTATGTGGTACTGAAGAATCGAACCCAGGGCTTCATGCATGCCAGTCAAGCACTCTACCACTAAACCACCTTCCCGGCCCCCCAGATACTAATTTTTAATGATGAGTTTTTTTACTCCCCACTTAATGTTTATCTGCAAAAAGTTTTAAAAAATCATTAACTTTTCTTTAGGTGTGAGCAGAGGTCAACATGAGGTGAGGCACTGTTTTCATTCCCCTCCCCCAACCTTTGCCCTCTTTATGTCCTCCCTAGAACCTCCTAGTCTTGCTTCCTAGCTTTAAGTAACTGATGTGACCAAAGAAACTGACCATGGCATGGAATGCCCCTAACCAGGATGGGGGATCTCCAGTGCTTGGCTATATTCTAAAATGCAGAAAGGCAGTAACTTTACGGGTACCATTTAACAAGGACCTCATCCAAGGTAAGATCCTAGGGATAGAGGCCCAGGAAGTCTTGCTGAGTGGGTCCATTGCTGCTCAGAACACACTCTATCCCCTCCAAACTCTTTTGGTTTTTTTAACAACATGGGGGGGGGGGGCTCTTCTTCCATAATTTACACCCCTTGGGCACCTTTATCTCATCTTTCTGTCTCAGGTTCCAAGTATACTGTGGATGGTCTCCTGGAAGACACAGAGTAAGAATTCCTAGTTATAACTGTGAATAAGGCAGGCCCTGGACACTCCAGTATGCCATCCAACTCAGTGATAGCCAAAGATCCTATTAGTGAGTACAAGGCCGCCAGGCTCCAGCACATAGTAGAATTAGCCTTTTCAAAGTTGAGAGAGAAATTCTTTGCTTGGAAAGTCTGACAGGAAGGATCAGTCTCCACTCCCTGGAAACAACCAACCTCATAAAAAGACAGGATTTCCACACAAGAGAAAGCTTGTGAACAAAGATAGAGCATCAGGAATGGTGAAGGGGAAGGATAGAAAAAGTTTGTACGGTTTCAAGTATTTCTGGTTAGGTGAGGTAGTAGAGGCCTGTTGAAGATTGAATGGGACTGTTGAGTAATTAGTTGAGAAAGTCTTGAATTTAAGAAATGAGGTGGAGGGGCTGGGAAGATGGCTCAGTGGTAGAGTGCTGGCCTTGCATGCCTGAGGCCCTGGGTTCGATTCCTCAGCACCACATAAGCAAAATGAAAAAAGCCAGAAGTGGCGCTGTGGCTCAAATGGTAGAGCGCAAGCCTTGAGCTGAAGAGCTGAGGGACAGCACCCAGGCCCAGAGTTCAGGCCCCACAACCGGATCCCAAAAAAAAAAAAAAGAAAGAAAGAAATGAGGTGGAGGTGCTACCTATAAAGAGATGTGGTGAAATGGCTTGGCTAAAGGGTAGGATTTTGAACATAAGAGGTCTGAATAAGTAGGTGGCCTTGAATTTGGAGTATTTAAGAATGAATTGGTAAGTCAGTAATCAAATTTGGAGGTTGCTGAGTATGCAAGGTTGGGTATTGAGGATATTACCTATGGGAATTGGAGGTGGTAGTGAAAGTGAGGGTTCAAAGTATGAAGTGTACTCAAGAGACTGAAATCTAAAAGACTGTAATTCAAGGCCAACCCTGGGCAGAAAAAATTTGCTAAACTCCATCTCCAAAATAACTACCAGAGCTGAGAATGTGGCTTAGTGGTAAAGTGCTTGCCTTACATGCATAAGTCCTGGGTTCGATTCCTCAGAACCACATAAACAGAAAAGGCTGGAAGTAGTGCTGTGGCTTAAGTGGTAGAGTGCTAGCCTTGAGAAAAAGCCCAGGGATAGAGTTCAAGCCCCAAAACTGGCAAAAATTAAAAAAAAATAAAAAATTAAAAAAACTGGCAAATGCAGGGTTAGAGGCATAGCTCTAGTAGTAGAGCACCAATCTAGCAAGTGTGAGGCCCTGTGTTCAAACCCTAGTAATGAAAAATAATGAAAGAAATGAAGAAAGGATGGAAGGAAGGAAGGAAGGAAGGAAGGAAGGAAGGAAGGAAGGAAGGAAGGAAGGAAGGGAGGGAGGGAGGGAGGAAGGAAGGAAAAGAGGGGGAAGGGAGGGAAGGAGGGAGGGCAATGTCAGGAGAGAGAGAGAGAGAGAATCAAGTTTGAGAAATGGACATGAGGTGAGTGAATGAATTCAGACATTGTTGACTGAATGTCTGTGCTATCCCAGAACCCCCAGGCCTGGTGTAGGGCCTGCATGTGTCTGATACCTCTATCTTAAGCCTCTCACTGGGATGGTGGGAGCCTACAGGTGACCTACCCTCTGGCTACATCTTTGAGATGTGTGCTGAAGACAGCAAGAAATGGTCCAAGTGCACAAGGATCCCCATCTCAAGCACCTGCTACACAGTAGGTAGCCTCTACAAGCAGCAGAAATACTTCTGCATCAGGGCTGGGGTCGGGGAACCTGAGGAGTTAGAGGAAAGAGTCCATGCCATACCACCACCAGGTGAGGATACACTGGGGACTCATCTAACAGGGAAAAAATGGGTAATGCTATGCTCAAGAAAAAGTCAAATTTCTTGTGAGAGAGCTAGGAGAAGAAACCTCAAGGACACCATTGATTTAAAAAAAAAAACATTGTTGTGTGCCTACAGTATCCTCGGTGTGCCAAAGGAAGTGTTGGGCATACAAAAACACTTAAGACATAGGACTAGTCTTCTAAGATCTTCTATACTAGTAGAGAAAGACAGAAGAGAAAACAAACATTTCGATGTATAGCTTGCAGTGGAGCTGAAAAAGGGAAGTTGGGGAAGGTGGTAGAGGGGAAGCTTAAAGCTGAGTCTGCTTAAAAGAGAATTCCATGCCCTTACCTCATTGTCTCCCTTCTCAGCCGCTCCCAAACTTGACCAAAGTGCCCGGCTGAAGAGTCACCTGGTGGTGCGTGCAGGAACAGCCCTCTGCATCCATGCAGCCTTCTCTGTGAGTTATTCCTGACCTTGGCCCCCACGGACCCTCTGTATAACAAAGATGGCTGTTATAACCATCAGAATCTCTGTATTGGACTGTCCTTTGCCAGATTCCTGGCACTACAACCAACAGCAGACTCCTTGAAAATAGGAAAGTGCCTTCTCTTCAGATATCATCTGAATGATCTCTGGTGTCCTCTGCTGTCACTATGCCAGGGCTCACCACCACTTGACATGACCCGGCAGAAAGATGGCATCACCACCAAGGGTGGGGAGACAATCACCAAAGGCAAGAACTAATCGCAGTTCCTCATCATTTGGTACTACTGTACCAAGTGCTCTGACTCAGGAGGGTATCGAACCCTGCTGCAGAATGCGTTTAGACAGGCACACTATGACATCCACATGCATGTGACAGGTACAGCCAATGAGCAGTGCCCTCCAGACGTTTCCTAGGACTTCCTCCAAAATGCAGTTCTCCACTGCTTAGTAACCTAAGCACAACTTCCCAGTATAGTGTCTAAGGTTAAAGAAACCACCTTACCACCTCAAGGCCAGGCTTTATCAGCCTTCGTAAAGAGGGAAGAAGGAAAAGGATTGGTTTTTGTTTGTTTTCTCTTTCTCAAAGGCTTGAAGCCCAGAAAACATTGAACTAGAACTGAGTCCTCGAAACAGCTTCTTACCTGGTTCAATTCTTATCTGGTGAGCACAGAGAAAATGATGCAAAAGTTCACCCCATTTTTGAAAAAAAAAGTTCTAAATCCCCAAGAAAAAGAATGAACTTTTAGGGCTGGGAATGTGACTGCATTCATGAAGCCCTGGGTTCAATTCCTTAGTACCACATTCACAGAAGAAAAAAAAAACAGAAGTGGAGCTGTGGCTCCACAAGGTAGAGTGCTAGCCTTGAGCAAAAGAAGCTCAGGGACAGAGACCAGGCCCTGAGCTCAAGCCCCAGGACTGGCAAAAAGAAGACATTATTCTTATGAGTGATCCCTGTTAGTCTTCATTTTTCAAATGAGGAACATGAGTCTCACATACATCTTGCCCAAGAGTCACAGAACTACTGCATGGCCAAGTGATATTTCAGAAACAGAGCTTTCTGATTCCAGCACTTCTGCTATCTGAGATTCAAAGAAGAGTAATATCCCCGTTTAATCAGGCTGTGGCTGTGGTTAGGGATACAATACATCCTCCCCAAGGGTCACTGACAGATCTTCTAAATGTCCTAAATTTCCCCCAGCCTCCTACAGACTTGAAGCTCTATGAGGAAGTCCCTAATACAGTGACCCTGACCTGGAACCACAGCTCTGATATGGAGGAGGAGGAGGAGGATACCCATTATGTCATTCGAAGTGGGATGCAAGCAGCCCCACCTGGTTCACAGCAGCAAGAGCATGTCTTTAACAAGTACACGGTAACAGGGCTGATCCCTGGAAGGAAGTACTACTTCAGAGTGGTGGCTCACAATGAAATTGGTGACAGTGACTGGCTGGACTCCAAAAATACCTGGCTCATCAATAAGGACCAGAGTGAGTAGTAAACTTAAGGTTTGGGTTATGTCTGGGATATCCCTGATAGAGGAGATGATGGGAGTCACAGAAGGGAACAAAAGAGTTGAGCTAAACTCAGGGAACCCTCAAGACAGAAGTTTTAACATCTGAGACACTTGGAATGTAGATGTTGGGAAAGCTTAGCAAAAACAGTATCTTAAGCCAGCACCGGTGGCTCATATCTATACCTATAATCCTAGCTATACAGGAGGCTGAGATCTGAGGGTCACAGTCTCACAGTCTGTGAGACTCATATCTCCAATAAACCATCAGAAGTGGCTCTGTGGCTCGGTGGCAGAGCACTAGCCTTGAGCAACAAAGCTAAAAGACAGTACCCAGGCCAAGTTCAAGCTTATCCCAGCCACCCTTGAGCAGAAAATGCTAATGAAGATGAAGACTGCTAAGCCCTGAGTCCAGGCCCCAGTATTGGCACACATACACACAAAATCTTAGGGGTAATACTTAACATGGAGGGAGAAAACCTTAGGGGCTGAGATGACATAGGGACCAGGAAGAATTACAGAGTACACCTGCGTCTGCTCTGAAGGGAGGTGAAAATGGGGGTGAGGGCTGGGACTCTGGCCAGCAAGCCAATATGAGGTCTGAGAATCCTGGAGAGAATGGGTTGAGGATAGAGATATTATAAGAAAATGAAGGGCTAAATGTATACTCTGGAAGCTGAACTGGCACAGGAAGTCTGGAGAAGTTAAAGGCCAGGGTAAACAGCTGTAAAGGTCTGCGAAGTTAGTACTGGACAGACACCTAGGCTCCTAGGCTCTGGAAAGTGTAAACACCTGTGAAGCCAGCTTAGACTGCAGTGGACCCCCAGAGTGGTATGGACATTCAGAAGAGTCGGAAGAAATCCTGGGGAAGCATATAATGTTAGAGCCTCCAGCATCACTAGCTCTTAAGAATCTGGTCCAAGTCTTTGGCATTCTAAAGACTGGGTCTCCTAGGTGCCACGCATGGGTGGCAGGTGAGGGCCTTTGGGGACACTCACATCCTGCATTATCCCACTTGGCAGTTGAGGACCTGAGTACCACACAGAAGCTCTACCAGCATAAAGACTGGTGCCATGTACTCTGCTTCTTGACACCACACAAGCCACACACAGCGCTCCATGGCCAGGACTGCACCATGATTTGTTCCTTCCTTGGGAACCCATGGGCCACTGTGACCCTGTACAAAGGTGATGTCAACATCACAGCTAACTCCAAATTCTGGTACAACACTACCAGCAGTGTGTGTACCCTTGTCATACCTACCTGGCGAGTACAGCATACTAGTGGAGAATGAGCTGGACAAGGATCCCAGAAGCCGCACACTGTCTATGGTGAGGGAGCCACCAGGGCTGGCATGGGGGCCACGTGGGAGAGGCAACAGAGGCACAAAATAAGAGTCTTGTGGGCCATCAGTCAACTCTCTTCATTTACTGGCACCATTCCTTTCTTGTTTCAAACCCAGGACATGGCACTTATTAGGCAAGTGCTTTGCCACTGAGCTACATATCCCAGCCCATGGCACCATTCTGAAATTTGCCATCAAGTGGTGCAAATATTCTTACCTCTCTTCTATCCTCTCAGTCATGTCATGTTCCTGGCCGCTAAGATGTGGACGTGTCTGACCCCTTTGATAATCTGTGATTTGCAACCTTTGGTGGACCTAGATCACTTTTTAAAGATACTGTTTACTATTCAGTATGCTGAGATCTGAAGATTGAGGTTCAAAGCCACTCCAAGCAGCAAAGTCTATGAAATATTTATCTCTACTCAACCACCAAAAAGTTGGAAGTGGAACTCTAAATTGGTTGGGAGCTAGTCTTGAGTAAAAAAGTTCAGGAACAGAATTGAGACTCTGAGTTCAAGCCCCAGGACTGGCACACAAAAAAATACTGCTCATCAAGCCTAAACCAGACTCATCCATCACAAATGAAAAATACTGGCCTAGGACAAGAGCAGGCGGAAGGTACAAATGGAGAAGACCAAAGGGGATCCTTTCTCTTGCATATTTGTTCACATATGTGACTGCAGCAGGAGCTATTTTATTCTTTCCCACACAGGTTACTGTCTTCATAACTGTCTTCACAATTAGCCATAAACCTCTAAATGCAAAGCTGATCTGCCTTGCTCTCTTTTATTTAACTTCCCTCCTAGATTTCTTCTGATCCTCATGATAAAATCCCAACAAGCCTCCCTCATTCTCTGTTCCTCTCTCTCTCATCACACTCTAGTGGTGTTGCTCCCACTGCTTTAGTCTCTATGGCTACAGGCCATTTTAGAACCAATTACAGGTGCCTTCTTATGGAGTAAGGACAATATCCTATTGCTCTATCTCTCAAGTGTTCCACTAAGTGTCTGGTACTGAGATGATGACACCACCAGAGTAGCTGCTGATCTGTGTAATAGAACTAGGCCAGGAGGCACTGGAGGAGCTTTCCAGCTTTCATTCCACAGACAGATCTTTGACTACTTAATTCTGGTTGGACCCTAAAGCATCGACCCAGGGCCCTGAAAGCACCAATAACCGTCCATGTGATCATACCTCTATGTCTGCCTTTTTACCTACCAAGATTGTGAGGTTTAAGTGAAATCCTATATGGACATGCCTGCCCCAATGCCTGATAAATAAGTACTGAATAAATAGCAATTCTTAGCCCCACACACAGTCAACCCAGATTGAGGGCCCCAAGGCCATTTCAGTTCCTGTGTGATAACTAAAACAATTTGGAGTTTTCCTAGCCCCCAGCAGCAAAAGTAACACTAAATGAACATTTACTTTGATGTTTCAGACATTATTGCTAGCATCAATCATGGAAAATCTGCAAAAGAAATCAAAGCACCTTATGTGAGTTCCAGCCCAGGCATCAGATGTTGTGATATATGGCTTCTATGTCCTCGGCATGGGCCCCTATAGTTCAGGGTGCCTGCTGGTGTGTGTTAATGAAAACATTCTAGGAATAGGGCAATAAATTCACCAAGTTCACCCTTTTCTTTTTCTGTTTAAAATGGGCATCATGTGGACAAACATGTATAGGACCCACCCACAAGAGAGGGACTTCATGAGTTAAAGCATAATGTATCCATCCCTTCCTCTCAAGAGCATGGGGGGCAAGTCTTACTGACTTGATCTTTCCCCCTATCCTGCTCCCTCCTTTTCTTCACATAGTAGGCCTTATGTTCAGCATTCTGGAGTTTGAAAGGATGAGGGTTTTGTCCTTATAGGGCCCAGGGAGTTCACTATCCGAAATAAAAGGGATTTGGCACCTAGCTTATGATTTCATATATATTTTTCAGTGGATTCCTTAAAAGAAAAAAATGCTGGACCTGAAATAATAGGTCTTGGCTGGACACTGCTGGCTCACACCTGTAACCCTAGCTACTCAGGAGGCTGAAATCTAAGGATCGTGGTCCAAAGCCAGCCTGAGGAAAGAAAAGTCTGTGAGACTTTTATCTCCATTTAACCACCAAAAAGCAGAAGTAGAGGTGTGGCTCAAGTGGTAGAGTGCTAGCCTTAATCTAAGAAAGCTAAAGGACAGCCTCCAGGAACTGAATTCAAACACTAGGACCAGTACACACACACACAAAAGGTATTTAAGACTTTCAATCCTCTCCTCCTTTTGCTACACCCCTTAAGGGATCTCTGTAAGACTCTAGTTTGGGACTAGGGATATAGCTCTGTGGCAGAATACATTCTCAGCATGTGAAAGGTATTGGTTTTGATCCCTAGCATAGCAAAAGAAAAAAAGTTTGAAAAAATCATTGAACAGACATGAAACTTGAATCTACTATAGCACAACCCCAAAAATGTATAGCAACTCTACCAATGGTATATTCCCCACCACTCAAGACTTCCCTTTCTACAAGTGGTATTTGCCTGTAAACTGACAATGTCCCCCTAGTGTGAGCAGGTTTCGTGTCTAGTATATGAGTTGGCCAAACTAATCACATTGCTCCTAGCTGCTCAACTAAACAAAGGTCTAAGGAAGAGACACTTGGAAGGAAGTCTGCAATATTTTGGAGCAGGCAGCAGATTAGATGTAAAGATGGGAGGAGGTAGGCAGCAGAAGGTAGCTAAAGGTCCCAAAATTATTGGGCGCTCATGCATAAGGGAGTGTATCAAGGACAAATATGGACAGGGGCAAAGTATACCCATCCCCCATCCTGCTGAAGTGCCTTATACTCACATGTGACTAGGGAAGTGAGACCCACTTAATCCAGCATAGTGTCACCACAGCCAGGGAACCAGGCTGGCGCCAAGCTTCTCTGGCCAAAACTGTGACCCAAGCTGTGAGGACAACTAGGTTCCCTGGCACCATGCCTCTATCCCCTGTCCAGGACAGGCACGTGCCACACAGACAGACAAAGTAGGGAAGCCAATAGCCCTTGGTTTTTATTTTATTTCTTTTTCACATGGGAAGTCGAGGATGGAGTTGTCCATCCTTACTCCCCTTGCATTGCATGTGACTTGGGGCTTAAGAGTCCAGAGTGTCACTGGAACCCCCTCTTGCTCCCAGTGCATATGATACAGGGAGGAAAACATTGTTGGTGCATTGTGGGGAGGGGTCCTAGCTCTCTGAGCCAGGCTCAACACCCCTCAGCAACTCCCTGAGACCCTCTTTCTCTTGATTCTTTTATAGACAGCAGGACAAAGACATATGACAGAGAAAGACATAGACAAATTAGGCAAGATCACATATCACTCACCTCCACACATGCTCACACACACATACACTTACACACTCACACACATCACCATCATCATCATCATCATCATCATCATCATCATCATCATCATCATCATTCTGGCCCCTTCCTTTGGCATGGTTCACCTAACCCTGAGGACAGGATCTAAAGGTGGTTGTATGGGGCCTGAACTCCGGGCCAACCAGTGCGGGAGACCGGGCCAACTTTAATCCTTGGTACTCGCAACCTCCCAGACTAAGGAAGTTACTCCTATTGCCTAGCCTAGATAGATACTCCTTCACCTTCCCACTTAAGAATTGAGATTGTTCAAGTAACAAGAAAAGGGAGCCTCCACCCTCTTCCAGTCTTCCCAATTCCTAGTTGGAAAAGGGCTTCAAGCCCCACCTCTGCATCATCTCAGCAGATTTGTTCCCTCTTTCCCTCAACTTTGTGTAGAACAGAATGGGTTAGAGTAGAATAGCCCAGCATGGCCAGTGGTCCTAGGCATAGAGATGGAGTGACTCTTCAACCTAGCAGATAAATGGAGGGGTCAAGAACTGAGCACCATCACCCTCCAGTGGGGCTTTGACAGTCCTGATGGAGTACAGGTGGGACAATGTCTACTCCAACAAGGAGCATGAGGCTGCCTCTTGGGCTCTCAGCATTGTCCTGAACCATTGGCTTTGCCAGGGTGATCCTTCTGCTTTCCCCCTCAAACTTGTCAATTCCCCCAGAGGTACCTGCTGTCCCAGGCTGGGACTGATCACTGAACCACCCTGATCTAGCTCCTTCAGGTTCCCAGGGTCTGGACCCCAGCCCCAGGAAAGAGGTGAGCAGACCCTGGGTCCTCAATTGGCCTTTCTCAGTCTGTAGTCTTCCACTGGCTCTCGGCTCTCCACAGCTGAAAGGGCGATGAGCATCTGAGCAGCATAGTAGGTGGACATGATGAGTGCCCGAGAGTAGGGCACCGGAAAGCAGAACTTGTTGAGAGCGATGGTCATATCTGAGATGATAAACAGCAGTGCACCACCGCCAGCTGCTAGCTCAGTCCAGCGCCAAGCTGCTCCGACTAGCTGCAGCCCTGCAATAGCTCGCCAACCCATGAAGCTGATAAGGGCCACATAGACCCCCACCAGATAGGTGAAGGCACCTGAGAGCCCTGGGTAAAGGAGGGCATAACACAGGCCTGACAGCACTCCCATCACCAGACCTGTCCGGAGAGCCAGTGGTCGCATGCCAAAGGCTGAGGCATAGAACATGTGGGTCACAGCAAACATCAGCAGACCTGAAAATAAGAGAAGAAAAAGGATGCTGAAGGCACCTTTGGTGATTAATGAGTACTAGGGATGGAGGGAAAGGGATTAGGGATAACCCAGCAGTTTGCTTTGGGAGTCATAGGGATGAGAAGATCCTTAAAAGGTAAAGATGGTTCTCTCACACACACTCCCATAAGAACTCTAAAACTGATCAACAGATCCCCTTCAAGGTCATTCTCCAACAAAACCCCACAGTCCCTGGCCTCAGGAACCCTGAAATGCCCTGTTTAATATTTCCCTCTTCCTCTTTGCTCCAGCCCAGGACCCTCTTTTAACCTCTTTTAACCCAAGCAGCTTCTATGATCACTGACCGTGCACAAAGTAGCCCTGGTCCTGCCAGATGAGGAAGGCATCACCTACAGCAGAGAAGACAAGTCCTACAAAGATTCGGGTGGCACTTGGATGAGCCAGCAGGAATCCAAAGCCATGGGCCAGAAGGAAGAGCCAGAGGCAGAAGATGGGCAGGCATTTTATGAGGGCGCTGACCCAGGATGGGCTGGATGAGGGCAGCCACAGCACAAAATACACGCAGGTGGCCTTGAAGAAGGGTACCAGTTTGGGTCCCTCACTCTTCACCTGGAAAACACAGGACAAACGCAACATTCAGAGCTCAGAAACCCATAGTTCTGAGCCAGGACCCTTCCCCCTTCCCCTCTCCTAACACCACTTTCCACACTATCCTAAGAAGGCCCAAACTATCCTTTCCCAACCAACCAACAGTGTGAATAAACTCATTGCCCGGGGGGCTCAAGCTTTAGGAGGAAAGGCTCCACTGTTGTTCTTACTCGGGTCTACTCTAGCTAGGCCAGAATGGTTGCTCACTAGGTAGCTAATAGTAGTCCTTTGGTTAATATCCCCTTCAGCAGCCCAATGCTTTTCCCTTCTAAACCCTGTCCCCAGGAGCTGATTCTCCATCCTAGAGCTGCTTTAGCCCCATTATTCCCTGCCTCCAGCAAACTGGAGTGAAGTCATTGAGAAGCCACAGAGACACCTGACTGTCCAACTCATGATCCTTGGGCAATGAGACCAGGACATAGGCTTAGGGCCTTGGCAACACTAGGTAGTGCCAGGAATGTTGGAGAGTTGGCAACAACACTACCTCCAACCCACAAGCTCTCCTTCTTGACCAGCCTGCTCCTTAGCCTCCAAGCTACTTGTCTTAGGCATCAAGAACAAGGAGTGGTGCTAAGGATGGATAGCAAAATAGACCCAGGATTGGGAGTAAGAAAACTGTTTTGAAACAATAGAGATTTCAGGCCCTTGGATGAGTGCGTGTCAGTCAGACTTGTTTCCCAGAGAACAAGAGCGACTTGAAGCACACCAGAAAGAGGCAGGAAGGGGGGTGGGGAGGGCTTCTTGTCCCAGCTTCTGATCTGGAGCCAGCAGACAGGCTGGGAGGAGATGGGGAACTGAGAGGGGGAAGTTGGAGCAGCTGACTTGGTCTCAGCCAGATTAGGGGGGAGGGCAGCTAAAGAAAGGTTGTACTCAAGGCCGCTGCATGCATGGTCCAAGCTGGGGGAGGGGACTGCTGCAGATGTTCTGAGTCTGTGATCCCCTGAAGCTCTTCCTTGGACTACTAGTTCTCAGGTTCTGAGGATAATTTGGAGCAGATGGGGTTCACTGTAAATCCGCACTGAGCCCAAAATGCTCGTGTCTCTTCCTGGGTAAGCTATCCAGAGCAGGGGTCTGAAGACACATGTAACTCCTAGCCTACCAGGTACCTAGAGAGAGTGGAGTGGGGAAGAGGCAGAATTTCAGGGTCCAAGCCTAGTCTTGTCCTGCCAGAGGGGACAGTCTGGAGCAGAAATGATTTTTGCTTTCCTTGAGAAGTCCTCTATCAAGGCTGGTCA